TTGTTAGGTTAGTGACTACGGTTATTTGAGGCGGATCTAGTTTTAGAAACTATGTTGTCACTAGAGATGGCAACTTATGTTTTGCCTTCATATATGGAGATGTGTCCAAGGCCTCCCCTTGTGGACATGCATGATGCCTTCCTCTCGAGGAGATGAATAAAGCACTTTGGAATGGGAAAATGTTTCAAGTTTTGTCTTGTTGAGAGAACTAGCCATAGCTTAATTGGTTAGGTTACATGTGGTGGAATTTGTCCACGCGGGTTTTCTAAACTCGGTGGTTTACTATATTAATCATGATAGTGAAAAAACTAAGCGGCAGTTACCTATCATGCAGGAACGATGAAAACAATTCATGAATTAGCATATACATGCCATATAAGCAGTCGTTTATACAAGGAATATTGGACAGATAAATGAATATCTACACAAATCAATAGATATAACGACAACCAGACAAATTAATGAATATGTACAGAAAAAAAATATATTCACAAATAATATAGTGCTCGTCGGTGTCATCAAATTCCAATAGTAAGCAATGCCCCAAGTCTCTAGAATTCAACATCGCCCTCCTGAAGCCTGGCTTTGCGCTCTTCCGACAACATGCGTGCAAATATGACCAGCTCCTCCTGTTCGTGCCCCTATTTTGGTCGGGCTCGTTCTTGCCCGTCTCAGCATTCACCTTGCACACCTGCCTCTTGAGCAGGGCCTTGCCAACATCGACAAGCCGGTTGAGGTTCTCTGGCGTGGACACGTCGACGGAGGCCGTCTCGCCCTTGAGCTCGTCATCCTGGATCCGGAGGTAGCGTTTCTTGCAGTGAAGCGCCTGAAATAGCACAGAGGCGTGGATGTCGACAAAGTCGGCACTTGCCTGGCTGAAGCTGTCGATGATGGGCGCCGCGCCCCTGTTGTAGAGCCACCCAAGGAGGCCCCACTTGCTGCACTCGGCAGCATGAAACTTCTCTTCGATTTTGGCGGTACCGGTGCCCAGCGAAAGGATCATGAACTTGCCATAGTCCGCGGGCTTGATGGGGAAGAAGTCGGGGTTTCCCATCAGGATCTGCTTGCTTACGTCCGTCATTGCTAGCAAGGTCTGTAATATATCCACGTCGGTTGTCAAACGACAGAGAACTTTCGATGCATCGACATCATAACCGGATGATAGTCAACGGTTTCCATACATCAACATCATAACCGGATGACAGTTAATTGTTATACTATTAGATGATAATCTAATTAATTTGGGTTAGCACGTCTCACTAATCGAGGTGGCGTGTCGTGTTAGCACGACGGACTCACCGGATTGTTTGCAGCGACGCCACCGTCGATGAGGTTGAACTGCCGGGGCGTGCCGTCCTCGCCCTCTGTCTGAAAGTGGTGGCCGGGGAGGTAGGTCGGCGCAGCGGACGTGCTGATGCAGACGTCCGATAGAAGAGCGTTCTTCGATTTATCCTTCATGGTCTACATAGGAGTTTCATATATAAATCAGCAGGCATGCATGGTGAAACCGTGCAATTAAGCAACATGCTTATTAATCTGTTGTTGATACATCACATACGTTGTAAGTCGAGAAGATTGTGGGCTGCAGTAGTTTGATGTCGAAGGTCTGAATGACGACGTTATTCAGCGTATCGCCGACCCGCGTGTCACCAAGGAGCTTCTTGACGACCGTGTGGAGGTACTCGCCGTTGTACTTTGGTCCCATCATGCTCCTCATCAAGCCGAATGGCCCTTTGCTGCACCACAGAACATGCACACGTACATTAAGATGGTAGACGATCATGCATGCAGGAGATAAGCATGCGATCTGTGTACCTGGCTTGAGGGAAGATACTCGGGCAGTGGTCGAGGTAGAACTTGTTGATGTCCTTGGCGGCGAAGAGCGGGCGGCCTGCGTCATCGGGCGCGCTGAGCATGGCGGTCACCAGCCCTCCCGTGCTTGTCCCGGCGATCACGTCGAAGTAGTCCGAGATCCTCGCCTCGGGCCCGTCGAGCTCCTGGAGCTTCTCCTCGAGGAAGGCAAGGATGGTGCCGGGGATGATCCCGCGCACACCACCGCCCTCGATACTCAGCACAGTGACGATGCTCCCATAGGATGGCGGCGGCGACCTGGGGCTCCCCAGCGACGACGACGCGCCGCGGCTGAGGGCACTTTTGTGGCGATCGACGGCGTTGTTGGTGGTTGAGGTGCACGCCCGTGCACCATATTTATATCCACGGAATTAGGAAAAGTCGTGCTCCCGGTCGGAGCGCCGGAAGCATCGTGCATAGTATGCAGGCGGTCATGGCCGCACCGTACGTGCGACGAGTCAACAAGTTGAATTGAAGGGGCCAAAGACGCGGGGACGGGAGCCGGTCATGGCCGAGGGCTGAAGATGTGCAGCGTGCACACGCTAGCATTGGAGGATAATTATTCAAAATTCCATGGACCAGGCTGGCATGAACTCCTCGTCCAATAGGGTCGTGCCACTCTATGTCGTGTGGCGTGTCCAGCGTCCAGAGTGAGCGGTGGTGCTCCGCCCGCGGGACACGTACAGACAAGGTACTCATTCTTTGTTGTTTACCTGGTCCGTCTTACTCTCTGGAATGTTGGATGGGTAAACGTTCCTAAAGTGACAAGTTTCTCCTGCACCAAAATGTAAGGAAGACATAGACCAAAACATCAGTCGAACTACTGGCCATAAAATAGAGACAAGAAACTCTTAGGCGGTTAGGGTTTCTCCTACTCCAGCCCGACGCCGTCGGCGGTCCGCATCGCCTCCCATGGCCTTTGGTCTGTGGAGCTGCGGAGGACCCCCGGCCCCTTGCTGGCGGGTGTGATCTCGCTCTTCTTCTTGTTTCGTTCGGCGTCTTGTTTAGGGTCATGTGGCGGCAGCGATGTCCCCTAGTAGAAATAATGTCTCGCATGTCCGATCCCCTTCGCGATGGTGCATCCAGCGTCATCGGATGGTGTGTGGTGTTGTGTCTCCGCCGGGTCCCGCGAGATTCAGTCGATGTTGGTCATTTTTGTGGATCTGTTTGGATCCAGTCTTCGTACTACAGCAATGTTTGCCCGGCTTCTGCTTGGAAGGGGCGATGATGGCGGCGCGCTTTCGGCTCGCTCCAGTGCTTATAGTCGTCACTAGATGGTCCACGGACGTGGTTGTAATTTTGGTTACTTCTGGTGTTCTATGTACTGCCATGACAGATGATGAAAAGATTGAAAGTTTCTCTCGCAAGAAAGAAAAGAAAAAGGAATAGAAACAAGCCAACATAAATAAATAGAAAGTGACAGTACTGGTTCCGATCCTTTTCTCTTCCCATTTCCAGCACAAACCCCTCTCGTAGACTAGTTCAAGTTGACACACATACGGGTTCTGTTTGATGCTTTCTCTGCATTTGCAATTGATGGTTTTGAATTTAGACCGTCGATTGTTATCGCAATAACTGTAGATGGTATTTTGGCATCATTTTGCTGATACGCCACCGAGGATTTCTCTCCCACGAAGATGTACACAAGTCTCGCGCACTGGTGCTCCCTCGCCGAGCACCAGAAATTAGCTGCGCCTCGTGAGAGGACGTACGTGGACCAAATACTAGTGTGCTTCCTTCAAGGTGAAACTTCACGGCTGGTCATCCAAATCAAAATAGAAAATTGGTAACAAGTGACAGCAATACTGTTTTTCGTCGTGTTCTAGCTGTTTCAAGCAGCAACTTTGTAGAGTAGACCAGTTCAAACTGACACACAAAACAGAGACAGGTTCTGTGCGATAATTCTCCTGAGCTGCAGTTTGACGGTTTTGAATTTGGACCGCCGACTTTTTCCACAGCGGGGCATATCCCGGGCAAATGAAGCGCCTAGCACCCCCAGCTACAAGTGTGCCGGCCCATGTACTACACAACACACACTATTGTTGTTTCGCCTTGAGGGAACCATGGCCGGCTACATACTCCCTCCGGTCCTTTATTACTCTGCACATAAGATTTGTCTGAAGTCAAACTTTATAAAATTTGATCAACATTATAGAAAAAATAAACATTCACAATATAAAATTAATATTACTAGATGCATCATGAACTTAATTTTCATATTGCATAACTTTCGTATTATACATTTGATATTTTTCATATAAATATTATCAAACTTTACTAAGTTTAACTTCAGAAAATTCTTTTATGCAGAGTAAAAATTACCGGAGGGAGTACAACATTTCGGCAATGCAGGTCTGACACTCACTGCCTAAACTTGTCGGAAAAAGGTACAACGACAATATGCCATAAAATCATAGGACGCTGTCTCCGAACAGGTTTGGGGAGTGATCATATTCTTGTTTTTTTCCTTCCCTATCGATTTTTCAGCGTGATTTTTTCCTTCCCTTTTATGTTTATGGGTTTCTTTTTACTTGAAATTCACAAATATTTATAATTTCAAGATTTTTTTAAAATAGACAAAATATATATATTTAAAATTTCATACTCCCTCCTATCCATATTACGTTTCGCTTAAATAGATTTATCTAGATGTATTTCATTGCTAGATATATCCATTTGATTGACAAATAATATGGATCGGAGGAAGTAATATTTTTGAAATAGATGAACATTTTTCAAGATAAGTGAACATTTTTTCTAACCAGAGAATATTTGTAAAATTCGAATATTTTATTATAAAAATCGCGAACATTTTAAAATCATGAAATAAAATATGTTTCTTTATCTCTAACAAATCAAGCAGCACGTTTTTTGGGGAAAACTAGCAAGAAGACCGGAAGAAAACAGTTAGATGACAGAAATTCAAGAGAAGCAGATTCCTCTAACTGGGCCGCCTAGCCAATTGCTAGGTATGTGCGTTTCCCCGACATTTCCTCGCAGAGAGCGTCATATAGAACTTCTCCAAAATCTGTCTACTCAAAAAGATTACCAAACATCCCGTAGAGAGCGTCACATCGGAAGCATGGCTTCGTCCTAAGCAGACATATTTGGCTGGAGAATCAAGTGTCTTAGAATCTATTACATGTTGTTTTTGCAAGCCGTATATGAAAGGCCGATTGTACTTGACTCTCATCTGCTACAAAGACCCCTTGGATCTCTGATCTTCCTATGTAGACGATACATGTTTACCCTCCATGCAATGATTATTCAGCATTGACGAGGCGATATTTCTCAATTTAGGACATGCTCTTTTGCTTCTTCTTTTTTTTACCGTTGGTGGCTGTCTTTGCACTAGCCTGGGTGTGTTGTTCGTGATTGTTTGCAGCAAGTTGTAGTCATGTTATACATGTAATTCTGTCTTCTATAAAAATATGAAACGTCTAGGCGTACTCTCAATAAAATAAGTATTCAAAATCGACTAAGATGGCCAATGACTATGTTAAATCTTTTGTTTGACCAACTAAGGGTACGAAGGTCCCATAGATTCATTAATAATGGTAAAAAGATACTACATCTCCAATACCGACCAGTCCACGGACATAGGTACGGAAGCCGGCCATCGAAAGTTGCCCGCATACAATTGAAACCGCAACCACATTTCAACAAACCAGAAGAAATTCATGCAAGCCAGACGAAATTCATCAAAGTTCGGATATAAAATATCACAAATCATCCCTGCATAATACGCAAATAAGTCTAGTACATGGATGTACAATACTTGCTGCCCCTTCAACTTTATCAACATTCATCAAAGTTCGGATATAAAATATCACAAATCATCCCTGCATAATACGCAAATAAGTCTAGTACATGGATGTACAATACTTGCTGCCCCTTCAACTTTATCAACATTCATCAAAGTTCGGATATAAAATATCACAAATCATCCCTGCATAATACGCAAATAAGTCTAGTACATGGATGTACAATACTTGCTGCCCCTTCACATACTCTTGCCGGTCCTTTTTACTCTGCACATAAGATAAGTCTAGTACAACACTTGCTGCCCC